CTTTTTTCCCTGATATATTCGCAGCAAATTATCGCCGTACTTCTTTTTCATTTGCAGCGAAATAACGGTCATCAGTTACCTGGGATAATATAATTTTTTTTGCTTTGCTTCAGTCACATCTCTTTTATCCAAAATTCCTTATAATTTACGTAAAATCGCGGGAATTTTATAGAATACCGAATATTTCGAATGTTTTTCATTCATTCGACTACTCCATCATTTAAGCTTCGATAAAACCGGTGGATTAAGAACGCTCGTCATATCAAATTATATTTCCCGATCTCGCGAATCGACCTTCATCTTTATCGTATATTTTCTTATTACGAGTGCTGAGAAATGGTCCTGGTAGAGAGTACTTTCGTACTCTCGTTCCGTTATTCTCGATATCCATTCGTTAGAATTAAGTCAGAATTCGTCTAGAATATGTATAGATGCGATAAACAGTGTCCTCGAATATTAATATCATTAGTATTAAAAGTTAATAAAGCTGCTGCAAATTATCTGTTGTTAATAACTGATTTTTTATTTTTAAATCTCGTGAATATCATTTGCATTGACACAAGTATCCATATCAATATCTTTTCTTCTTCTGATTACGTCTGATGCATCTTTATAGTTTGAAATTTGCATCACTCAAAATTGTCATCGCGTAATATAAAACGTAAACTTTTCTTTACGATAAACAATAACATAATTCTATATTCAAATCATCGAATTTTATAAACATAAAAAAGAAGCTCTTCGATCACACCACATATTTTTGTATAAAATACGTTTTTTTTTCCTTCGATTGATTCAATAATTGAATCGAAACATATAAAATCTTCCGCAAAAAATTATAAAACATTTTCATATTTTTTGTTAGTCATTTTGATTCCTACAACTGAACATTTATACAATCTTCTTCAAAAGCATCAAGCAATCTTTATAAAAAAAATTTGTTCATATAGACATAAAAGACATAAAAATTTATTGCTTAATTTGAAAATTTTTATCTATCTATTATCTATCTATTTTATATTTTTACTCTCTCTGCATATAATGGAAAAAGCAAAAAACCAATAAGAAAATTTAAAAAGTATTATGAGCTAAAAGCATTATGTTCCATTATGAACTAATAATTATATAATATTAGATAATCTATGTAGTATTAAATAACCCATCGACATGTAACTGAAAGAAAAAAGTAAAAGGATTACATTATATAATATAAAGCGTTTTCTACATAAAATAGGAACAAATATATTTTTAAGATGAACTCATAAAAAATATGTTGCCATTTCATATCGCATAAAAAATATCAAATTACGCAAATTAAAACATTATTGCATCCACTAACATTTAATAATTACAGTTTATTCAATACAATTCAGTTAAAATGAAATTGAGGAATTAAATGGGCAATATTTGCATAAGTTAACAGATTTATATTTTTTTAATGTTGCATTTGAATATCATGAATAATTTAAAAATTAATGTAGAATAATTTTGTCCTTTAATTTATTCTAATTTCACATACATGCTTATTTTTCTCAAAATCAAAAACTCTATATTCGTTTCATTCAATTCCTCAATTTATGAATTATATATTTTCATCTTCATTTGCTTATATTACTGTATTTTATGATTTCATTTTTATAATCATGTACACTGTACGAATGCATACCAGCAAAAACTGTTATTCGCAAAATATTGTTTTAACTAGTTATATATTATCAGCAAAAATAGAATTAGATTTGTGAATTATACGTAAAATAAATGTTTCAACATTAGATTAAGTTTTAGAATAGAAGTAGGAAATAAATGTTTTTTTAATAGTTAACAAGGACATAAAGTTGTCATGGAATATGCCTTGCAATCCTATCTGCATGTTCCTGAAAAGAAATTGTTTCCAAGTAATGATATAAGATTAGTATAGGATATTTAAATTATATAATAGAAAAATCATTTTTATTGATATATCAATGTAATAAAACATAAGTATCATATAATCGCGTATATAAATTAATAAATAATAAATTAATAATAAATTAATTTTATTTTTTCTCCAGACTGAATATTATATAATAAATTATAAATAAATTTCATCATCAGCAATTATTTGTCAAGTAATATATATAATACGATATAATCTTTTTAATATATTTAAAAATACTTTTTCTAAGCTACTTTCTAGGCTAAAAATATTTTTTCATGTAATATTCATATTTTAATTCATAATTTCCAATATCGATAATTTTATCACATTTATTCAAATATGTAGATGATATACATACCATCATTCTGTTAAATTGAGGAATATCTTCGTGAGGACCTTTACTTTTAGGTGGCAGCTTTGGTAAAAGACGTTCGATATTTATATCGACCTTAGGATCTTTCTCTTTAATCTGCTTCATAGTTTCCTTACAAACTTTAATTACAGACTCGGCATTTAAACGACGATTATCACTCCATAATGGACAACTATGTTGAGAAAAAATGTAACGTGAAACAATGTCGATTAGATTGCATTACAATGTCAAGCTAAATATTGAAACTCACAGATTTGATCCTGTTGCTCCTTGACCCTGAAAATGCCGATAATCGGTTACCGGTTTATCACAAATGTAACACATCTTGGCACCACACAGACAAGTCATTTTGTTACAACCTTCCTCCTTAAAGAACATTCGGTTGCAACGATAGCATTTCCGTACTAAAGCTTCAGTCATCTTTTCTTCCAAGTATAAACGTGCAGCTTCCGATTTTTTCTCATTGCATTTCAAAGGTATATGATTAATTTCCTTACATAATCTAAAAATATCAAAATAATTTATTAACATATAATGCACATTTATTTTTGGATATTTTTTCCAGAAATCAGCCAGAAATACTTATAAATAGTAATATTTAATATAAATGTCTTCACAAATTTTATAAGCTAAAAAGCATTTTATATATTCTGGATTATGATAAAACTATAAAACTTATTATATATTTTAAAACTTGACATGTTAATTAAAAAATACAGAATTTTATAAAATTCAATGATAACAAAATTACAACCATATCAAATAAACAATCGGTATATAACACCGAATACAAACAATACCCGACAAAATAGGATTCTTCTGGTGTTTAATAATTCCTTTATTTCTGAGTTTACATAAATTCAAGATTAGACGTCGAAAATTCTATCTTACCAAGTAATGCTTGTATTATTCCATTTCTGTGTTAGAACTTACCCTCAGTCTTGACATATTGTTTATTCTATACGTTTATTGCAAATGATATCTTTTTCACTTCAGTTATTATGATAAATATCCTCATATTCAATTGTCGAATTGATAAACAATCGTCATAGATAGTAAAAACCAAGAATCCTGGTTAATCGAGATCACTTACCGGCAAGATTCCTTCATGCATTCCGGATTGAGGCATTTGAAAATCTTATCTTCGGGCGGCGGTATAGATGCAAAATGACAAAATGGGCATGACACTAATCCCTCAACTCCAGCAGCCATTACCTCCGCCTCTTGTTGTTTGCAGAGCAGGATACTAAACTTAGTCGGCGATAGTATCTTTTGAAGTACAGATATAGGAAAGTCACAACCACAATTTAGCAAACACTTAACATGCGTGTTGCCGTCTGCTAATACTATGTCTGTACTCCGTATAATACAGGAATTACAAAATATGTGCCCTTCCGCGCACGTGGAACATTTTGATGGCATACATTCGTTGTCATAACAACATTGGCATTCAAGCAGTTCATTTTTTGCCTATAAGAAAAAAATTAACGGAAAATAAAGATCAAATTCATCTAAAAAAATAATAATAAAATAAAATAATTTTAATTTCCGTTTTAAGATATCTCGTACTTTAAGCTCATTAAATTCCTGCTCCTCTTTCGCTTTCATTTCATCCAAATACTTTCTAAGTTCTGCTTTATGTTGTATAAAAGCACACTCTTGAAGAAACGGTATATCCTCCGTTAGAATCGTTTTGCTGCTATACCGTTTAGTTTTCAAGTCAGGATTTAATGCTTCCAAAGCCTTCGCAGTTAAACTTAAATTGTGTACATATTGACTATATGTATTCACCAACGTGTTAACCTGCAAAATAAAACATATGACTCGATATTTAGAGTGATCGATTAATAATCAGTGGGTAGCAGATTCAAACATGAATTTCATTCCGTATATTCGCGAAATATTTAATAAAGAAAAAAATAATTATGATACTGTATCTGATAAAGATTTATGTTAAAAATAAAACAGAATTTGAATTATAAATTCAAATTAATTACTTTCAATTTGCTGAAATAATGTTTAAGAAAATCTACAGCGTGCGGATTAAATTGGCACTTTCTTTTCTCATCTTCAAAGTATGAAAATGGATCTGGAAACAACTCTAAAAACTGTTGCACTTGAAAATCCGTAGTGTACTGTTTCTGTTGTTCCGTAAGTTTCTTTTTAGCTAGATACTGTGCTCTCGTTGGATAATCCGGGTTTTCTAGTTTTGATTGAACGAATTCTTTTATCTGTTCAGGATTTTTATACATCTGCTCGGCTATTTCTCTTAAGTATACAGGATCCGCTTCTGGGAATATCATCAATAAGTCGGCATATTGCTCATTTAGATCGGGAGTTTTTAAAGTTTCATTCGAATTTTTCACTGTTGCTGCTGGCTCAACATTTTTAATTAATAGATTTTTTTTATTGTAATTCAATAACGCGTCAACTAACAATTCCAACAATATCGCCTCATCCCGCAAGTCATCAGGTTGAATACCTTTGAAACATAACGCTTTAATAAAACTAGCTTTTACGTCTGGAAACATGGGTATTAATTTGGCATATATTTGAGATGCTTTTTCATGTAATGTTATAACATGTAATGGTTTAAGATCACCATTGTTTTCTTTTATCATCACTTTGCTTGCATTTTTTTCTACATCGACTAGCGACGAGTTTTTCTAAAATAGAAAAATAATTAATAATTAATATACATTTATGTTAATGACAAAGTTATAAAAATATATCTGTTCATTCAAAATGTTAACTAAAAGAAGCTAAAAAAAACTCATTAGTTCATAAAAATCCACAAGTTCATAAAATATAGAATTGAAATCACAAGTAAAAAAAAAATTAATTACTTTTCGAACTTTTTTAATTATTATCGTATTAACGTCACCCATGTTTTTTTGCCAGGGAATGAACTGTGTTACACGTATATATGTACGAAACTTTCAGAAAAATTCAGTTGAAGTGTGGTTTATGATAAACAATAACATGTTTGTTATACATGATAAAAACGCGCGAGAGAAGGATTGCAAAGAAAGGAAAGTCGTAACATAAGAACGTAAATATTATCCTCATAAGCGTTTTCGATCCGTGTCCGAAAACACGTATTAGATACGGCGTGAATTTTTGTAACATCCAAACCATTTAAAAATAAAATATTAAAATAAAAAAAACTTGAAATTTTTAAAAAATTTTAAAATTAATATCGAAAGTAGAGTTGCACATATAATTTTAATTAAGGTGA